ATCAGTTGCTAGCCCTGTATGAGCACCACTCCCAATCTGTATCCTGACACATCGATTTCCACCACAAAAAGTTTACTGAAATCTGGAAGTGCTAATGATGGGATGTTGTTCATGGCTCTCTTCAGATGTTTGAATGCTTGTGTTGTCATTCCCCCAACTTCAGATTTCCACCACTCCCAATCCATTCAGATGTTTGAACGCTTTCCCCCAACTTGAAATTGTCTTTCTTCAATTGTTTTGTTAGTGGCTATGCTATCGTATTTTATCATCTCACAAATTTTCGAGAGTATTTGATGAGACCCAAGAATCTTCTCAACTCCTTCAAACTCCTAGGTAACATCCAGTCCACTATAGCTTCTACTTTGGGCAGACCCACTGCTGCTAATATTTTGGTCACAACATACCCCAAGTACTCCACATGTAACTGTGAAAATGAGCATTTATTTAAGATAGCGTACAACTGGCACTCCCTCAACAGTGGCGAGACTGTCCTCAAGTGCCCCCCATGCTCTGTCTTTGTACAACTATAGATCAAAATGTTATTGAAGAAGACTGGGATGAATTTCCTAAGATGAGGTTGAAAAACCCGATTCATAAGAGATTGAAATGTGGTTGACTTGTTGGTGAGGACAAATGATCACCAAGAACTTGTAATGCCCTTCATGTGTTGAACTTTATCTTGTGCACATCAGCTGGGTGTATCCTGATCTGATGATATCCCGACTTCAAATCGATCCTCGAGAAAATGAATCTCCATAAAGCTTATCCAGCAGCTCATCAATCACCAGAATAGGAAATTTGTTCAAGACATTTTCCTTGTTCAAAGCCCGTTAATCCATGCAAAATTGCCATCTACCATCTTTCTTCTTCACCATTACAATTGGACTGGAAAATGGGCTCACACTGGGTTTGATGATCCCAGTTTCGAGCATCTCTTAGATTAGCTTCTCTATCTCATCTTTCTAAATCTAAGGATACCAGTATAGTTTGACGCTGATAATGGGGACACACTCCTTTATTATATTGGCATGCTCATGCTCCCTTGGAGGTGGTAACTCGTTCAATTACTGAAAATGTCAGTAAATTGCTTTTGGAGCTTTTGAACGCCCTTGGGAAACTCTGCTGACTCTGGATCTCATACCTCCTCAATGCTCTGCAAACCCCAAATATCTTCTCTCGGCTCCTCGTATTGACTTGACCACGGTTTTGAGTGAGACCATGGTTTTGCTTAAGCTAGCATCTCCTCTCAGTATGACTTTCTAAGAGACAACCCTGTATCTTGGAGAAGTACAAAATGAAATGTGACCACAAGATCTAGAGTCAAAATAAAATTTAGACCTGTGGTGTTGAGATTGTATGAGTTTCTACTACTAAAAATAATTTTGAAAGATTTAAAGTTTGAATGGAAAGATTTTATGAGATCCTATTGGGCTAACAATCAATCAGCAATATTGCACAAATTCTTGTGAAGCTATTAATGTTATAAACTTGCATGCATAATTGACTGATGATAATTTTGACATGCCACATTATATTGTGCCTAGTTTTTAATTGACAAGCTTTTTGTAAGTTGTGCAAGATTGACTTCTATTTTTTTCTTATGAAGCTTCATTTGGCCTCTTGATGCAATCAAAAGCCGGTTTATTTTTTAAAATATATATGTTTGTGTGAAACTTGAGATGCTATCTCGCGTCCTCTTTGACAGCATGTTACTGTTTGTGAAACTACTGAAGTCATCTTTAGCTTGCTCTTAAATGTCATTTGTCACTTTCAAATTTAATTGTTGGCTTTGGCATTTAATATGTACTCACTATATGTCTATTTTTGTGTTCTGTAGAATATAATATTTTCAATTAGCCTTTAAAACAGCATTTTCCTACTTTGTTATCAGCATTCCATATGCAGTGAACTGCTACTGTTTTGCAATTCAAAGTTTTCGCATTAAAATTTGAGCATTACTTTGTTTTTATGTCCATTCGGAATTTTTGGCTCATCCTTCATTTCATGTTGTTCAAATTAGTCATATGATTATTTTTCATCCCTTGCTGCTTTTAATATTCAATGAAGACAGAATGCATGCCATTAGAAAAAGGGTTTAGAGTCATATCAAGGGCTAACAAATTTTTTTTAACTTCTTGCTTTAGGGACGAGAAGGGCTATAGATAGGGCTGTAAATGAACAAACATTCTAGATGAACAACATGATTTTGGATTGATTAATATTTAATCAAGTTATTCACATCAGTAAATAAACAATTTTGGACCTTTTTAAGGCTTAAACGTTTTCTAACCCATTTATATATTGACAAATAAATTTATTTGTTATTCAACAAATAACTTGTTAAATGATCGATGTTAAGCTCCATGATCATTGAAATCATATATGATATGTTGTTTACATAAAATTTAATTGTCTAAACCTTATTTAATTATATATTTATTATCAATAATATTTTAAGATTAATTAGTAATTACATGGTTATGTTATTAATATATGTTTGTTATTTAATCCAATTAATTAATTAATATATCATTATCTATTATATTTAATCCATTATATTTTTTTAGTATTAATTAGTCTATTATTATGTAAATATATAATATCTTTTTATGAATTATATAGTCCATGTTAATTATTTAATATCATATATCTTTTATCATTTTTTTTTGCCACTGACTGCCCTAAACATGTATTTTCCCTTTCCGCGATTTTTCACCTGTTTCACAAGAAACGTTTTTTATGCTGTTAAGTACTCATCATTTTTTGTAGTATTTATTTATTTTTTTATGTTTCAGTTGTCATTAGTGAATATCTGTTAATTTAATGCAATTTATTCTTATTTTTATTTTGTAATTTATTAGTTTATATGTACTTATTTAATTACGATGAAGTTTGCTTGTAACTAGTATATTATTTTATTTTGCTGTTGTAAAGTAGTTAGATGTTAATTCAACATTTAATGAATTGCTTGCTTGTTTGGTTTCTTAAAATGATTTATTATTAATTTTGTATGAAAAATTAGGTGTGTTCAAATTTTTAGTTTGTTTATTAACCCGCTAGGTCAATTGTTATTATTAAAAATTTAAACAAACTAATTATGAATATATGTGTGAATTCTTAGCTTGAGCAAATAAACCAATTATGAATATATATGTGAAATCTCGGCTTGAGCTCAAGTTGAATCTGAACATCTTAAAATATGACCAAGCCAATTCCAATAATACACAACTTTAGCTACTGAGTGGATGATTTGGGCAAGAACTAGAATGTCGACAAATGGTGGAAAATGCTTTCTATGGTAGAATTAACTCGAAAGCTTTAAACACGAATGGACAATAAAGAATTTGAAATTGATCCCATAGCTGCTGATGTTATTGCTGTTTGGTGGTACTTCGTAATTTACCCATCGACTTTTTGTACGTTTTTTTCCTGATTTAAAAATGGTTTTTCTTGTCATATTTTCTGCTGTTAATGTAATGTAATCATAGTCCCATTTTCTTTTTTTTTTTTTTTTTACTTGTGATATCTGTTTCATTGCCTTATAGTTTCCGCGGCCTTACAGTTATGTGAAAGTGTTTACAACTTGAGCTTTTTTTTAGACGATGAATGAGGAGCTTATCATTTATACACGTCCTTGTATCCGAAAGTTTACTTCTTGCTCCTGTACATTTTAATGATGTTGAATTTGAATTACAAAATGTTTCTGTTATCCTTATATATACTAAATTTGTATTTTGGCGAGAGGCTCATTTTATGATAAACACAAGGCATAGTTCTGAATTGGAATTCAAATTCATTAGTGGATGAATATCATAAAAATAATTAGTTCCTGGAAGGCACACCTAATTAACATTATACTCTATTATTACTTTGTGTCATTGCACTTAATTTTCAGTTGAAATTTTATTATATTAATAACTAAGGTCATTGATAGATTTTTAATTATTTACCATTCTATTCAATAGGTAAGCAAGTATGTCATCTACATTAATTTAAAATTAAAAATTGATTTGTTTATTGATTTGCATTTATTTCTTCAATCCTTAACTATTTTTAAACTATTTTAACTTATTCGGGCCATTTATTTATGCTAAATTAGGATAAATAGTTCCAAAAGGTAATATTTGGCTCATCTCATTATAGCAACATGACATAATTTTGAATTCAAATTCCAATTTCACATATTATATAACTATCATATGGCACATTAAGTAATTTTGGCTTGAAGCTATAATTATTTAATTTAATACTTAACTATTGCAATATGGCTGTCAATAGTTTTAAATTTGAATCCAAAATTTGAATCCATTAGTTTACAGTCACTTCATCATAGGATAGCCACATATTATAATTTTAATTTCGAATTCTAATTCAATTGTTAGCTAACAATAATGTGGCACAAAATATAATTTTGACTTGAAAAAGACAACTATTTGATTTAACGCTTAATTGTTATATTATATGTGAAATTTAATTATGTTGATTTAAATTCATTTAAAAATATTTAATTTTAATTATTTTATTTAATTGCGAAGCACTCATGTCATATAACAGTAATTTTAAGATTTAATTTTAGGTTGATTCATCAACTTAAATTTATTTGTTCAATCTTTAACTCTATGAAATAATGCTGGTGGTATTTTTAATTCTGAATCCCAAACTTTTTATTTTTTTCATCCTCCTTGCAACACAGTTTCCAGAGAATTACAATGATTTGGAGTGGGAGAAAACCTGTGGCCTGTGGTATTTCTTGTGCTCTGTTGTAATTCTTTTGATTTCTATTGCTTTTTAAATACAGAAATTTTGTTGGGCATTTAGTCTTTAATTTCCCATAAAAAATTTATAACTTGTTTTGGATGTGTGAATAATTTTGAAGCAAAACAAAGAGATATTTTACTCATTGAAGTGAACATTACTATCCTCTTCTCCATTGTAGATTGATTTATTTTCATTAAAATTCTAACATACTAATATGCCAATTGGGCATATGCTACTTTTAGGAGAAACATTCACTGAGGAGCAGAATGAGTTGGTTGAATCTGCTGCAGAGATGTTGTATGGCCTGATCCATGCTCGCTACATTTTGACTAGTAAAGGAATGGCTGCAATGGTGAGATTTAGGATGGAAGATTTACATAAAAACCACTCCAATCCTATGTATTTACCTATCCAACACACATTCTTCAATTTTTAAATACATGCCTGACCTATGCATGAAATGGCGTATTTCACATTTTAAAAGCTAATATGGCGACATTGTTTTTGTGATATGAAAGATTTGGGTGGTATAAATGTAAAAAGTAAAATACAGAGAAATTGGGTGGTATGTATGTAAATGCCCCATTTAGATTTTTTTTTGCTCTATAAATTCTAACTTTTTTTGCCTGCAAAAATGATGCCTACAGCTAGAAAAGTACAAAAACTATGATTTTGGAAGATGCCCTAGAGTTTACTGTTGCGGTCAGCCTTGCCTTCCCGTTGGTCAGTCAGACATTTCTAGATCTAGTACTGTGAAAATCTACTGCCCCAAGTGTGAAGATATCTATTACCCGAGATCCAGATTCCAAGGCAGTATCCTTTCTCCCCATAAACTTTGGGAACATATCCCACAATTCTCGTTTATTTAAATATGTCTGCTTCCTTTTTTGTGTGCTTTTGAAGGTTGTGTTATGCATTTAAATGTTAAAATATATAGATATATAAAAATTGTGGTATGTATGTAATTGATAAACATTTATTTTTCTTAGATATATTCAAATGTTATGTATGTTAATTGTCCCAAAATATAAACATGAATAATGAACTTCTTTTTCTTTTCTGATTAAGTTTTTGTCTACTTGACTGAAAAAAATATATATATCCAAGTTGTTTGAAGGCTTTGATTTTGTTTTTTTTTTAGATTTACATACATACCACTCAATTTATTTTGTCTACTTGACTGAAAAAATATATATATATCCAAGTTGTTTGAATAGATTCTAGGCTTTGATTTTGTTTTTTTTTTTAGATTTACATACATACCACTCAATTTCTTTGTATATGCATACCTAACACGAAAGCTTCAATTTTTACATGTATACCACCTTACTTATGCATGAAAAGGTGGATTTTACCTTTTAAAAGCTAAAATGGTGGTATTTATGATGTGATATGAAAGATTGGAGCATTATAAATACAAGAAGTAAAATTTATATGTTAGATATGTAAATAAATAGGAATTGAGCTCTATTTATGTAAATGCCCCTTTTATTTTTTATCCCACCTTTTTTGGAATAATAAGGTTTTGCTCAGCCTGCCGTTATCTTAACTATTTCGTAGACATTGATGGGGCTTATTTCGGCACAACATTTCCACATCTATTTCTGATGACCTATCCTCACATAAAGCCCCAGAAGGCGTCCCAACGGTACACTCCAAGAGTATTTGGCTTCAAAATTCGCAAGCCATGACGGATCAAAGCAGCACGCATCTTGATGTTTTTTCTTGCTGGAGGGAATGCACCGTCAATATTATTAATCATTCCTCAATTGAAAATGAGGTAACGCTAGCTTTGAGCTCTTGTTTTATTTATATTTTAGCTGTAGAGATGACCGGCATTGTATCACTGCTATGCTCCATTATTTATTTTCCTCCACTCAAATTGTTAAAGTCTCACGTGGTTTCTCCTTTGTGGCAATCTACATGAATACCACACAATTTCTATAGATTTAGACATCTTACACCTAAATTTTGATTTTTTTTTTTTTTTTAACATTTGATGATACTCAAATCTTTTTATTGAATAAAAAATATCACATCATTAACTTTTTAGCATAGGTAAAATGGTATTAATGTAAGTATTAATGTAATTTAATTCTTTTTTGCTATGAGTAAATTAAACTGTAGCTGATTAAATTATCTCTAAATATTAATTGGCTTAAGCATTTATTTAATATTAAGTTTTTTTCTTAAAAATAAGAAATATGTTTTAATTCAGAAAAATAAAGAGAAAATGAGTGTTTGTTCAACAAAAAAATAGTGTGTAGATTATATTAGATATATTAACTAAATTTTAAAACAAATAGCGAGATGCATAATGAAATTCAGCCCCAAATTCATTAAATATTTATGGCATGAATTAAATATTAAATTTTTTTTTTAATAATGGAAGTGACTTTTTAGATATAAAAATTAAAATATTGTCATCTGCAAAAAATAATTAAAGATGTTAAAAGTTTTTGGAAGTATTTGTCGAAATGAAGCTTTTTTTTTTTAAAATCTGAAATATTAGGGAAAAAAAAGCTAAATAAGATTGCATTGGAGGAAATAAGCTGTAGAATTTTGATGAATTGTATTCAAGCGCTTACCCGGTAAAATAATAATGATAGAAATAATGAATTGGTTTTGTGGTTTTAATAGTGTGAATGAGAATGAGATTTTTTTATATCTCTTAAGCTTTTTTGCATTTAATAGTACTAAAAGATATATATATATATATTTTTTAATTAAGACTTTAACCATATCATTAAAGAACTTGTTGTTAGGGTTGTAAACGAGCCGAGCTTGAGCAAGTTGAGCCTTTGCTTGTGTTCAGCTCGTTCCAATTTGGATCGTGTTCGAAATGGCTCATGAATAATGTGTTCGTGTACAGGTCGAATAACATACTCATGTTCGTGTTTGGCTCGTGTTCGGCTCGAAATAGGCTCGGTAGAATAACACCGATAACACACGAATGACACGAGCAATGACACCTGAGTAACGCTCAAATAGCGCGGGCCATTATTTTGTGGTGGTATTGATCTTATTCCACAGTGTAACACAACATGATAACACTGATAAAACCATTAACACCGTGGAATAACATTCGAGTAACACCGTGGACAGAGAAATAACACCACGGGTGTTACTCTTGTGTTATTTTGTGATGTTACACAATGGAATAACACCAATAACGCCGCATACGGAGGAATAACACCAATAACACAAATAGTGTCACTCAGGTGTTATTCCGCGGTGTTAGTGGTGTCATCGACGCGGAATAACACTGATAACACTGTAGAATATTGAGTATATTTATATTTATATTTACTTATTTATTTTCTTTCAAGCCAAATCGAGCCGAACACGAGCGAACAAATATTTGTTGGTGTTCGGCTCGTTTATACTAGCTTAAAATTTTTTTCGTGTTCGGGTCGTTAAACTTAACGAACGAGCCAAACACGAACTATTCACGAATGAGTCTTAATTTGCTGTCCACAATAAATTTACTCGAACAAAGCTTTGATAACTACAAACATTGTATGAATTTGAGGCACCAAGTGCTTTAATAAAAGTTCTATCAAACGAAATATATCTATATTTATATGACAATTTGAATAATCTATAATTTTGAAATTAATGCTGTTACTCATTTCATACCCACCAACAAAATAATTTACTGCATCATCCGTATGTGATGAAGTCCAAGAAGTGGTAGTTTGTTGCGTATGAATTTGATTTTTTTTACATTTGATGATACTCAAATCTTTTTATTAAATAAAAAATATCACATCATTAACTTTTTAGCATAGTTAAAATGGTATTAATGTAAGTATTAATGTAATTTAATTCTTTTTGCTATGAGTAAATTAAACTGTAGCTGATTAAATTATCTCTAAATATTAATTGGCTTAAGCATTTATTTAATATTAAGTTTTTTTCTTAAAAATAAGAAATATGTTTTAATTCAGAAAAATAAAGAGAAAATGAGTATTTGTTCAACAAAAAAATAGTGTGTAGATTATATTAGATATATTAACTAAATTTTAAAACAAATAGCGAGATGCATAATGAAATTCAGCCCCAAATTCATTAAATATTTATGGCATGAATTAAATATTAAATTTTTTTTTTAATAATGGAAGTGACTTTTTAGATATAAAAATTAAAATATTGTCATCTGCAAAAAATAATTAAAGATGTAAAAAGTTTTTGGAAGTATTTGTCGAAATGAAGCTTTTTTTTTTTAAAATCTGAAATATTAGGGAAAAAAAAACTAAATAAGATTGCATTGGAGGAAATAAGCTGTAGAATTTTGATGAATTGTATTCAAGCGCTTACCCGGTAAAATAATAATGATAGAAATAATGAATTGGTTTTGTGGTTTTAATAGTGTGAATGAGATTTTATTATATCTCTTAAGCTATTTTGCATTTAATAGTATTAAAAGATATGTTTTTTTAATTAAGACTTTAACCATATCATTAAAGAACTTGTTAGGGTTGTCAACGAGCCGAGCTTGAGCGAGTTGAGCCTTTGTTGGTGTTCAGCTCGTTCAAATTTGGATCGTGTTCGAAATGGCTCATGAACAACGTGTTCGTGTACAGGTCGAATAACATATTCATGTTCGTGTTCGGCTCGAAATCTATTTGTCTATAGGCTTTCTAGATTTAACATTCATTTGATCTTCCAAATGTGCCCATAAAACTTTAAAAAGTGTTTGAATGACTTTATCAAAACTTGATTTTACTCGAATTAGTCTGTCTTGTTAAGCCAGTCAGTTTGAATATTAGTTTGACGCTAATAACGCATCGATAACACACGAATAACACAAGCAATGCAATATGAGGAACACTCAAATAGTGCAGGTCATTATTTTGTGGTGGTATTGATCTTATTTCAGTGTAACACCACATGATAACACTGATAAAACCAATAACACCTTGGAATAACATCCGAGTAACACTGTGGACGGAGGAATAATACCACGGGTGTTACTCTGTGTTATTTTGTGGTGCTACACAATGGAATAACACCAATAACGCCACATACGGAGGAATAATACCAATAACACAAATAGTGTCACTCAGGTGTTATTCCGCGGTGTTAGTGGTGTCATCGGCTCGGAATAACACTGTGGAATATTGAGTATATTTATATTTATATTTATTTATTTTCTTTCGAGTCAATTCAAGCCGAACACGAGCGAACAAATATTTGTTGGTGTTCGGCTCATTTATATTAACTTAATTTTTTTTTTTTTGTGCTCGTTAAACTTAACGAACGAGCCAAACACGAGCGGGTCGCGAACAAGTCATTTTGACATCCCTGCTTGCGGTTGATGAGCAAGTAGGGGTCTAAGTAGTCTTAATTTGCTGTCCACAATAAATTTACTCAAACAAAGCTTTGATAACTACAACCATTGTATGAATTTGAGGCACCAAGTGCTTTAATAAAAGTTCTATCAAACGAAATATATCTATACTTATATGACAATTTGAATAATCTATAATTTTGAAATTAATGCTGTTACTCATTTCATACCCACCAACAAAATAATTTACTGCATCATCCGTATGTGATGAAGTCCAAGAAGTGGTAGTTTGTTGCGTATGACAAATGTATGTATATCAATAAGATTTTGTCATACCATAAGTTCAATACTATTGACAATGTCCAAAATTAGGTAGAGCTAATTAAAGGGTAAAGCAACATGTTCTCTTCTTGTTTTATTTTCAATATGTGTAAGAAAATTTGTAGCAGTAGAGTAGCAGATTATCGTCTTAGTATGATAGAAGGATTCAACACACAATATGAAAAGATAAACAACTAATAGTGACACCATAAATTTTTACGTAGAAAATCAGAAAAGGTAAATGCTATGGGACTAGACCCAGTTGAAGAGTTTCATTATAAAAATATAATTACATTTGCAACTTGTCCCACATGCATGAAAGAGTAACTAGATTTTTTAAGTACAACGTCGACGTGCAGATGAATTTACTGTTAAGAATGGGCGGAGACCAATAGTGATTAGCAGCGTCCATGGTCGATGGCGGTAGACGACGATTGGTGGTGGTCGACAGAGATTGACAGTGATCTAAGACAGCCTGCAAAGGTGGACTAAAGTCAGTGGCGGTCGACGGAAGTTATTCGTGGTTGACGACGGTCGACAATGATCGACGAAAGTCAGCGTTGGTCGGCAGTGGTTGGCAAATGTCAGTGGTCGTCGACGGCGGTCGGCAGAGGTCGATGATAGTTAGCGGTGGTGGTGCTGGACTTTAGCTTTTTCTCAATGCTTCAACCCCTTCCCCTCCCCTCATGAGACGAGTGAGGCTCTATTTATAATGTTCTGGGTGTATTTAATGCATGAATATAAACCACTCTTTTCGGACGATCTAGAGAGCTTCATTTTATCAGAAGATGATTGATGGACATTTGTGTCTTATCGAAGTTGGAATTGACCGAACTTGAGTTCGTTGGATTTGTCTGGTCAAGACATCTATTTGTCTATAGGCTTTCTAGATTTAAGATTCATTTGATCTTCCAAATGTGCCGATAAAACTTTAAAAAGTGTTTGAATGACTTTATCTAAGCTTGATTTTACTCGAATTAGTTTGTCTTGTTAAGCCAGTCAGTTTGAATATTAGTTTGCTGAAATCAGAGTTCCGGATGATCTTTTATCTATATTTGAATATTTCTTGCTAAAAAAGTTGTCTTGAGATTTGTGATCTGCCCTGAGATTCACGACAAATGATGAAAATTTGTTGGATTCATATTGATTTTAATGTAGAATGTGATGTGCCCAAACTTGTGTGCTTCATAGATAGAAACGTGGCATAGTATTCCTATTGAGTAGATTTTTATTCATGACTTAAAAATGAAATTTTATTTAAGGATATAAGATATAACTCATATGGTCGAGTACAATTAACCTAAGTAGTAACGACTTGAACTTTTGAACGAT